TTCAGCTCTTATTTTCCGCCTTTAGCACACTTATCTCTGCTCGCGCATCCTATACATGCGTTGGAGCAGAGCCAGCTGGGCGTTTAACTGTTGCACCTCATTTGTCCTACTCTGCAGCCGGTGCGACAGGTTTGTGACCGCCGTCATGGTCTCCACACAAGACTTCAAAGTATACTGATTGGCCTCAATATCAGTTTGCACCGCCATTTTTTGCTCCACCGACCGCATCGGAAAGTTCAACGAAGCAAAACCAGAGGCGCTTGGTTGAGGTTCACTGGCCACCGCACCAGTTATCTCTCTTATTGACTCGTTGAGGTCGGGAAAGAGAGTGAGCAGACCACGGGACGAAGAGGCCATATTCTGGGTAGCTGAACGGGAAGACGAGGCCATGTTATGGGTTGCTGAGTGTTTCAGAGAAGGGTTGGTTACAGAATGGCAACAGAGTGTTCCAGAATCTCTTTCTCAGAAACGGAAGAGTTTTTCAAAGAATTTTCGGCGGTTTCAGACTGGTTTGCACAGCCTCCACCTCAACCTTGGTTAAATAGCCGAGGCAGACACGCGCATCATGCGCCTCTCGGCGCTCGCCGACAACATGGGCGCTCCTTTTGATAGGCACGCCTTTTTATGGATTGGGCACGCCTTTTGATGGCAAGCCTTTGAAAGATTGGGCACACCTTTTGAGGGTGCGGCTTTTTTATGGTCCGACAAAACTCTATAAACTGTCCCGACATTGATTCCGGTTAGCTCCTTCATGGGTCCGACAAGACTCTGTAAACTGTCCCGACATTGATTCCGGTTAGTTTCTACAAGGGTCCGACAAGACTCTGTAAACTGTCCGACATTGATTCCGGTTAGCCTCTTCATGGGTCCGACAAGACTCTGTAAACGTCCCGACATTGATTCCGGTTAGCTCCTTCATAGGTCCGACAAGACTCTGTAAACTGTCCCGACATTGATTCCGGTTAGTTTCTACAAGGGTCCAGCAAGACTCCGTAAACTGTCACATCAACTGTCACAATATTGTCTGCTACAACGGTCCGACATGACCCCATAAACTGTCGTCTACATCGGTCTGCCATAACCATACAGTCTTCTACAACGGTCTGAACACGACCATACAGTGTCTCCTATCCTTTTTATTTTATGTATTCGTCTATTTCTTGTTTTGTTACTCCCTTCAAACTCAAGTTGGTTTGTGTCTAACCTCCTTGAGTTTGAGGGGGGCTGTTAATATACACCTAAACCTACTCCACTAAACCTAACCCACTACACCACCCCACCTCCACTTCACCTACTCCACTACACACTCCACTTCACCTACTCCACCACTCCACCTCCACTTCACATCTCCATCTCCTATATAATGTACATACAATCAATATCTATACAATTCTCTATTTCTCTTTACATTATATTTCTACAGCTGCATACCCTCCCTCCCGCCTAGCATGCTCACTCAAAAGCACTTGAGACGTGCAGGCCAGGGACACACACCCTACCCATCCTTGAATGCTCCGGCTTTGATACCATATTACATGGTCTTAGGTAGAACTTATATATTACTTTAATGGAACTATGGATCGACAATTTTTTTTTTTCTTTTCAGTACTGTATTTTATTTGAAGAATTGGATCAATAGAGAAACATTATTTTTATTGTGTGTTGTGTGTGAGAAAGATATACTCACCTTCTTCAATAGTCATTTGCCACTGATAGGTGGTGAATGGTATTGGCAGCGGTTGGTGGTCATATGGGAAGAAGACAGAAGAGAGAGTTAAGCAAAGATAAATGAACTTTGGATTTTTGAAGTGTAATAATAATGGTATATAATTGACCCCATTAATTGAATCTGAAGATGGAAAGGTTGAAAGAAATTTTAAATTTTATTTTTCAACCCAAAGATGTATGAATGGGTTTCCTATCAACCAAATGCATACCTTTGATTGCTGGAGCATCTCAATATTTGTTTTGGAGTCTTCCAATGATTCCATCAGTGCTTTATGGATTATTGTGAATTGCATGTCCTGCATTATTGTGTTGGTGTGATCCAGGTTATACATTGTCCAGAATATTTGTCATATGTTATGCTCATATCTGCTCATTGATTAATCTGGAAAATACCTATCAACTTGGCTCTTGATTGTTTTGACTTATATGTGCTGGCAGGCATTATCGAGGCCATTACTTGTCCTTTCTATTGAAACTTCTTTCTCTGACAAATCAGGGTGCAGTAACTTCACCTCAGATGCTATCAATGATTCCCATAGCCTGAATGATTCTCAGGCATCTTCAGAATTAAATTCAGAGATACCTTCTGTGCAGTCTACTGTTGAAACAAGGTACATTAAGGGAAATTTCATATGTTAATTCACATCTTATGACTTTATAGAAAAATTGATGATGGACAATAAATTGAATTCCATATTTGTTGAAATATAATACCTTAATACATTCACATATGGAATACATAAAGCAGAATAGGGTTGCATTGTATTTGTTCTGGCGGTGGCCTAGAAACGGCATTCACATGATCTTACGAAAATTGAGTACAACCTATGTTACATGGACTCTTCAAATTAAATCAATACCAACGTCGGACACCTGACACTCGGACAAGGGTATGGGATATGTGTCGGATACTTTTCAACGGATACTTCTTATATAATTATATATAACACTATTATTATATGATATATTTGTTATATAATTGCTATAAATGTCATTTTGACACTATAAGTTAAATATAATACCATTTTATCTCACATATTAGATTAAAAATATAAAATATGACATTTTTTTGCGAGTCCGCGTATCCTTAAATTTATGATTTGATGTCCGACCTTAGATACATACCCTCACCCGACACCCGTACCCGAGTCCATGTAACATAGAGTACAACAATCACTTGTTCTTTAGCATTTTTATTTTCTTTTGTTGGCGCAGACATGTTTACACACTTGCATTTCACATGATCTATGTCTACATGCATGCATGTGTTTTCTATTCATTCTCAAAATGTCTCTATGTTTTACAGCTTGTTTTAATACAATATTTTTTCATGAATTTTTGTACATATTTCTTCTTAGAAAATCCAACTATTCTCAAATTGTCTATGATACTTTAGCTCAGTTTTATTTTTGGTTTCTTCCTTACTATCAACTGCCATTTGGCGGGCATCTCATACCCAGTTGAATTACCTAGAAACTTATTTGAGTTCTGATATGTTTATTTGTGAGTTCTCAGTCACTTGCATATCTTGGTGACTAACATCAAAGCAGAAGTCATTGCAATTCTTTCTAGGTAGTTTGATTCTCATTTATTATTATCTTAAGCTTTGGGTGTTTTTGACTACTCGTTTATTCATTTATTTGCAGGATTGTTGATGCAAATCCTCGAAGTCAATCATTTACAAATTGGTTGCTTCAACTCTATGAAGAGCTAGAAAATCAGGGATTACTTTACCAGAAAGGTGATTCTACACAATCATATTACTCAGTAAAGATTTACTCTCCTAAGAAAAATTATTCTGTGAACAACAGTAATCAAAGAAAGGATCTATGTAACCAATATCTTAAGGCAATGATGGGCCAGGCTTGCAGAGCTCACCCACCTTATGAAGGTTAGGGGGTCTAGAGTAGGGCCCAAGAGACCCAAATCGTTTGGTGCCCTAGCGTGCGGCACATCTCCTTAACCTACTTAAGTAGCTGGCCGAGGCTTGTGCCCTAGCCCTTAGATGAATCTTTTAGCACCAGTTGTGTCATCCACATGGAACTCTAAAATGACATCATTTTTTCCTTGAAGTTGTGTTTGGGAGACATCTGCTAAAGATACCTCAAATGCTTGCTTTGAACCAACTAGAAAAGTCAGCATATTCCCTACAAATTTAAAAATGAAAATAAATAAAAACTTGTGAGTTGTTTTAAAAAAACAACAGGATATATGTGAAGGAAGTAATGTATACAAGTAAAATGGTAAATCGTCTCAAGCCCTCCACGCACGCAAACTCCAAAGTAATGGCTTGAATGAGAAAAAAGATATATAAACTAATTAAGAAGAGTTTTTTTCAGAGGATTTTCAGAAGTTTTTTGTCTGCCTCAGCCTCAGCATCAACCTTGGTTAAATAGCGAGGTAGCCACGCGTATCGCGCGCCACTTGACGCCAGACGACAAACGGGCGCGCCAACCAAGGCACTCACGTGCCTCGCCATCATGTCCGGCACATCTTTTTATGACTTTGGCTCGCCTTTTGATGGCACGCCTTTTGATGGCACGCCTTTTGAAAGATTGGGCACACCTTTTGAGGGTGCGACTTTTTATGGGTCCGACAAGACTCTGTAAACTGTCTCGACATTGATTCCGGTTAGCTCCTTTATGGGTTCGACAAGACTCTGTAAACTGTCCCGACATTGATTCCGGTTAGTTTCTACAAGGGTCCAGCAAGACTCCGTAAACTGTCACATCAACTGTCACAATATTGTCTGCTACAACGGTCCGACATGACCCCATAAACTGTCGTCTACATCGGTCTGCCATAACCATACAGTCTTCTACAACGGTCTGACACGACCATACAGTGTCTCCTATCCTTTTTTATTTTATGTATTCGTCTATTTTCTTGTTTTGTTACTCCCTTCAAACTCAAGTTGGTTTGTGTCTAACCTCCTTGAGTTTGAGGGGGGCTGTTAATGTACACCTAAACCTACTCCACTAAACCTAACCCACTACACCACTCCACCTCCACTTCACCTACTCCACTACACACTCCACTTCACCTACTCCACCACTCCACCTCCACTTCACATCTCCATCTCCTATATAATGTACATACAATCAATATCTATACAATTCTCTATTTCTCTTTACATTATATTTCTACAGCTGCATACCCTCCCTCCCGCCTAGCATGCTCACTCAAAAGCACTTGAGACGTGCAGGCCAGGGACACACACCCTACCCATCCTTGAATGCTCCGGCTTTGATACCATATTACATGGTCTTAGGTAGAACTTATATATTACTTTAATGGAACTATGGATCGACAATTTTTTTTTTTTCTTTTCAGTACTGTATTTTATTTGAAGAATTGGATCAATAGAGAAACATTATTTTATTTGTGTGTGTGTGTGAGAAAGATATTACTCACCTTCTTCAATAGTCATTTGCCACTGATAGGTGGTGAATGGTATTGGCAGCGGTTGGTGGTCATATGGGAAGAAGACAGAAGAGAGAGTTAAGCAAAGATAAATGAACTTTGGATTTTTGAAGTGTAATAATAATGGTATATAATTGACCCCATTAATTGAATCTGAAGATGGAAAGGTTGAAAGAAATTTTAAATTTTATTTTTCAACCCAAAGATGTATGAATGGGTTTCCTATCAACCAAATGCAATACCTTTGATTGCTGGAGCATCTCAATATTTGTTTTGGAGTCTTCTCCAATGATTCCATCAGTGCTTTATGGGTTATTGTGAATTGCATGTCCTGCATTATTGTGTTGGTGTGATTCAGGTTATACATTGTCCAGAATATTTGTCATATGTTATGCTCATATCTGCTCATTGATTAATCTGGAAAATACCTATCAACTTGGCTCTTGATTGTTTTGACTTATATGTGCTGGCAGGCATTATCGAGGCCATTACTTGTCCTTTCTATTGCAACTTCTTTCTCTGACAAATCAGGGTGCAGTAACTTCACCTCAGATGCTATCAATGATTCCCATAGCCTGAATGATTCTCAGGCATCTTCAGAATTAAATTCAGAGATACCTTCTGTGCAGTCTACTGTTGAAACAAGGTACATTAAGGGAAATTTCATATGTTAATTCACATCTTATGACTTTATAGAAAAATTGATGATGGACAATAAATTGAATTCCATATTTGTTGAAATATAATACCTTAATACATTCACATATGGAATACATGAAGCAGAATAGGGTTGCATTGTATTTGTTCTGGCGGTGGCCTAGAAACGGCGTTCACATGATCTTACGAAAATTGAGTACAACAATCACTTGTTCTTTAGCATTTTTATTTTCTTTTGTTGGGCCAGACATGTTTACACACTTGCATTTCACATGATCTTATGTCTACATGCATGCATGTGTTTCTATTCATGTCTCAAAATGTCTCTATGTTTTACAGCTTGTTTTATACAAATATTTTTCTTCATGAATTTTGTACATATTTCTTCTTAGAAAATCCAACTATTCTCAAATTGTCTATGATACTTTAGCTCAGTTTTATTTTTGGTTTCTTCCTTTCTATCAACTGCCATTTGGACGGCATCTCATACCCAGTTGAATTACCTAGAAACTTATTTGAGTTCTGATATGTTTATGTAAGAATTTATGTAATTTATGTATGTATTATTGATTAATTGATAGATACAAGATTGATTGATTACAATTCCTATACAATCTATATATAGAAGAAAATGTGGTAGTAGGTGTAGTGGAGGTGATAGTGGGTTAGGTGAAGTGGAGTGTGTGGTGAAGTGGAGGTAGGTGAAGTGGAGTGTGTAGTGGAGTAGGTGAAGGTAAAGATGGGAAATTCTAACAGTTTATTTGTGAGTTCTCAGTCACTTGCATATCTTGGTGACCTAACATCAAAGCAGAAGTCATTGCAATTCTTTCTAGGTAGTTTGATTCTCATTTATTATTTATCTTAAGCTTTGGGTGTTTTTGACTACTCGTTTTATTCATTTATTTTGCAGGATTGTTGATGCAAATCCTCGAAGTCAATCATTTACAAATTGGTTGCTTCAACTCTATGAAGAGCTAGAAAATCAGGGGATTACTTTACCAGAAAGGTGATTCTACACAATCATATTACTCAGTAAAGATTTACTCTCCTAAGAAAAATTATTCTGTGAACAACAGTAATCAAAGAAAGGATCTATGTAACCAATATCTTAAGGCAATGATGGGCCAGGCTTGCAGAGCTCACCCACCTTATGAAGGTTAGGGGGTCTAGAGTAGGGCCCAAGAGACCCAAATCGGTTTGGTGCCCTAGCGGTGCGGCACATCTCCTTAACCTACTTAAGTAGCTGGCCGAGGCTTGTGCCCTAGCCCTTAGATGAATCTTCAGATGTCTTGGTCTGGTCCTCTTGAGGGGGAGGGATAACTATTACCGGAATTGTGGCAATCCATGATTGGATCATACCTTTCTACTCTATAGCCCAGTTAATGCACTGGGTTCATTTATTGTGCAACCCAATTACGTTGTAGTCTTTGTTGGTCTTAGTGCTTGTTGTTGGTTAGGGCAGCCTGTTGTCCTTGACAGGTACAGGCCCTAGAGAGGTTGAGTTGAGACCCTATAAATACCCCATTAGGCCCAAAGCCTGCTGACGTCTCTTTTAGGGCTTTCTAGCTTGCACTCTATCCTACTGCAATCGCTTCTCACTCCCCCTTCAAGTTGCCTTTCTCTACGCTTAAGGTGAGCCCACTTGGATTTAGTAGCAGGAATTGCTGAAGTTGCTCACGAATTAGCCAAAGAAGCGCGATTCTATGCTTCTGAGGAAGAATTGGAGAAGAATTGCGAGTCTAATACTAGAGAAACGCAAGTCTAAGAAGATATGGAACTTATCTGGATTTGTCATCCTCACTCTCGACCTCAATCTCTTTGTCGATCATCACTGTCTTCTCTCAATCTCGTCGTCTCTCTCTATTGATCGATCGATCTCGTTGTCTCTCGATCGATCAATCAATTGATCTCCTCCTCTTCTCTTTACCTTATTCTGTCTCTCTCTTTCCTCTTCTTCTATTCCGTTTGTCCGTCTTCTTCTTCTCCTCTCCCGCTCTCTTCTCTTATTTTTTTTTTTTAAGAAAATAAATAAAACAAATAATTTTTAACAAAGACATTTTAACATAATTAGATAAAAAAATAATATAAATATTTTGGAATAAATATTTTATAATAAATGAAAAAAAAAATCTAATAAAAGTATATAATTATAATATTTTAACATATGATTTTTTATACTTTTTTTTTTAATTTATAAGATATATATTTTCATCATCATTAGAGAAAAAAAATATATAATCTTACAATATATCTTTATATATTATATTATTTAATATATATACAAACGCTCCCCACCAACGATTCTTGGAATGTCTATGATTCCACGCTCACGCTCCCGTTCCCGCTTCTGCTCCCATTTTGTACAACCATGCACTTGGACCTCTCTCCATCTTGTGTAGCCCAGTGAAACAATACTTTCTATCACGAAGTCCTAATTACTGATATGATTGAGTTGTCTAGCAAATTGCTTCTCTTTTCTTTGTGATAGCAAAGGCCAAAGAGAGCAAGTTTTTTCCAAAATTTTATCATTGTATTTCAGTGTCCTTTACTTCTATTTTTTCATTTTCTTTTTGGTGTTATGCTTTCTGATTGTACTTTGAGATTTATATTATGTATAAGTATAATGTATTTCTTATGTGGACTAGCTGTTATGCTTTTCTTCCATGATTTATTAATGTGGTATTTTCTTTCATGTTATGATGTTCTTGTTTAACTTAGCAACATGCACCATCTGCCCCCATCTTTTTCTCTTTCATTGCCTTGATAACTTTGGATCTGTATTTCTTTATTCTTGCTGGTTTCCCTCGAACATTTTGATTTCTTTTGAAGCCTTCATCACCATGATAACTTTTCTAGCTCTGTCAGTAGGCTCTTTTTTGCAGAGACTGTCATTTGAACCTTTTCATTTTAGCATTTAGATTGTTTTCAATGTCAAACATTTCTCTCACTTGAAGAAATTTTTTAGGGCGACTAGGAAAATTAGGTAAGTGGCCCTGCAGCAGTGATTTGGGATCCACTGTATATTCTGTAGCTGGCATATTTATTTTTGAATTTCCTGTATTCTCTTGTTGCAAAGCAGCATGACACCATAATGTTTGTGCAGAATTGACGAGGATGAACTTCACAGATTTTATATTGCTGCAAATGGTGATTTTTCATGCTTGCTATCATCAGTCAAGAAGACAATCCGTTGGAGGGAGACTTATAACATTCTTTCAGGACATGAACTTGAAATGTGGTCTAGTATGGTCTTTTGGCATGGATTTGATGTGAAGTACAGGCCCTGCCTTATTGTACGCCTCGGGCTAGCTTGCAGCAGCTTGTCATCTCATGAAAGACCTTGCTTTCTTCAAGCTGTAGGTATGTCCATTTTTTCCCTTCAGTAAATTTTTGGGTTTCTTACTGTACACTAGTTGCTGGCCTTGCCTACATTGGATTATAAATCAGCATGTCATTTTCTATGTTTAAGCTGCTTTTGACTTGTATTCTCTGTTTGAAGTGTGTTCAAAGTCTCAAGCTTCTCTTTCTCAAAATCCAATCCATCCGCTAATGGAGTTGTGTGTTTTTCTGTTTTGCATAAACAATTTTATTTATTTATTTATTTATTTCTTATTCTAAGTTGTAAAGCAAAATATAGAAAAAGATGTGGATAGAAGGGTGAGAAAGAGAGAAAAAGAATATCAATGATATAGAATTCCAATATGGAAGGTTTATGGGTCATCTCCATCCCAACCCCATGATAAGATAATATGATTTTACCCCAATAAAGCAAACAAGCAGTATCTAATTTCATTTTCCTTTTTTTATTTTTCTTTTTCTTTTTTTTGGTGTGGGGAGGGGGAGATGTGATTTAAGGTCAGCATTTCATATGATTTAAAAAAAAATTTGCTGTGTATTTTAGCCTGGCCTTGTTAAGTAAGATCTTTGATGGATTTTAAAGTGCAGCAATGCTAAAAAAGTGCCCAAAAAATGAACCGTGAACCATATTCATTATGAGTGTGGTGTAGAATTTAAATTTACACCATACACTTTTTTTCTGGGCACTTTTATTAGGTTTGTATCTTTTTC